GTCTCCACATGGGATCTGAACCCTCTGCGGGAGCGCCACCGCGCTCCCAAGCGGCGCACTCTCCAGTGCGCCACTGGGCCGGCCCTACTCCATCGTGTTTAAGCAGTAAAGTATAGTATTTACCACCCTTGTAGCAGTAGTACCTAAGTCTGGAGTGTTTTATTGAAGAACAGAAAATGTTTTTAAAAATGTGCTGCCTTTTTTTTTCTCCTTGTCATAGTGGGCTCCCTTCAGAAGGGTAATTATTCCAGTCAATCTGGAATGATCCCTGGTTCTTGGCAACATAAAATGAAACTTCAGCTGATTCTCAAGTCATCAAAGGCCTATTACGTCTTGTCTGATGCTGCCATGAGTCTTCAGAAATATGGAAGAGCATTACGATACATTAAATTAGCCTTACAGAGCCATGGTAAGCCACTCTAATGAGTATGTTTAATAGGCACTGGGAGGGGAGAACAAAGAAGGTGTCTGAATCACAGTGAAACCTTACTCCTGTTTCTCCTGTAAAATTTTATTTTAATACAAATTTTTTCTAATGCTATGTATGTTTATTTTCTGTTCAGAGTGGTTTAACATCTCTTCATTCTGAAATACATGAAACCATATGTGTTATCTGACATAAGATAAATTAGATACAGTAGTCCAAAGCTTTCAGCTGGTGACAACTTTTCTTCATATTTACTGTGTTCATTAATTTTTAATGTGCCAGTGTTTTTTTCTCCTTCCTGCCTTTTCCAAATAGATACTTACTGCTGCCTCTGCACCAACATGCTTTCTGAAGTGCTGCTGTTCCTTTCTCAGTATTTGACACTCTGTGGAGATATCCAACTAATGCTGGCCCAGAATGCAAATAATAGAGCAGCACACCTGGAAGAGTTTAATTATCAAACAAAAGAAGACCAGGAGATCCTACACAGTCTTCACAGAGAGTCCAGTTGTCAAGGTGTGCAAGAGAGAGACAGCATTTGATTCACCATGCGATTATTGTCTAGCTCCTGCTTATTTGAGAATGTGCAGAAAAGTGGCAGAAATATAGTGTTTGGATATTTTCTCTGTTTTGTTTTCATTTGTTTTTTAATTTTAAAATTGAGCATGGTCCAGTGTATTTGTATAAAATGTTTTTCAAATATTTTATAATTACTAATTATACAACAAAAACCAACTATAAAATAAGATCTGAAGACAATTGTGTTGACTTTTTATGCTCTTTTTTTTTTTTTTAATAAAGATGACTGGTAAGGGGATCTTAACCCTTAACTTGGTGTTGTCAGCACCACGCTCTCCCAAGTGAGTCACAGGTCGGCCTTATGCTATTTATTTTTTTAAATGAGGATTTTCTAGGTAATACTTTTAGTCAATTAACCATTCCGTGGATTTTCTTTTGAAAAGGAATAACAGTTTGTGAAAGTGGGTTAATTACCTTCTGAATGATTCCTGGGGGCTAAAATAAAGAGATCATCATTTTTAAAGTCAGTTAATAGCCAGCTGTCTTACTGAATATATCACTGTGTTTGGAGTTGTCAGATTTTAAAACTGGAAAATAGGGTAATTTAATCCATAACAACAGTATCTTCCTCCTTAGCTCAGTACGGTTATGTAAGCGCACTGCACCTAGGGTAGCATGAGATAAAAGATCAGTCTTCTGAAGGCATTTTTCAGTGTGTCGTGGAATTGTCTTGTTATGCTCTTAAATTGCTAGCATCAATGATATCAACCTCCCAGAAAGTTTTGGACAGTTATCAGGGGAGTGCACTAGGAGACGGGGAAAGTATTTATTTCTTGATATTTTTTCACTCATTCTTCCCCTTCTCTCTTCTTTTCCCTCTCTTTGTTTCTCATATAATTTTATTTTAATAAACACAGTGGGGAAATCCTGTTTTTTTACCACTCCCATTACAGTAATTTCAATTAAAATACTTCTTTGTGAGAGTGGTGTCCTCCCGTATATTTGAATGTTATGAACAGGAGTGCTACCTTTTTTCCTCTTGAATTTTGGGTTCTGTACCTATATTAACTCCAGTCCCCACTAGATGGCATTTTTAAGTTTTTGAGGGCTTATCTAGCAGCCTTCACTTATCAATGACTTAAACTTAACTTGGCACATTATTTCAAGAACTATCTTCATTAATTAAAAAAAAAATAAAATTTTACCTCATATCAGTGGACAAATTGTGCCAATAAACAAGTGTACCTGAGAAAATCTGTGTGGTGGAAGTTGTTTGGTATTTATATGCAGTAAATTATTTCTTTTAATCGACATTAATGTCCCAAGAAAATGTGGTTTTATAAATAAAGGTATCTTTTCTATGAAATTTAAAATTTTTGTTGTATTGATTGAATCTTAGTATGTTTATACTATTTGCATTTTGAAATTTATTTTGACTTTAAAGTATCAGGTTCAGTTGCATTCTAAAGAAGAAATGTTCATGACTCACACTGATGTTTACTTTTTTTTCTTTTAAGGATTTGCATGGGCAACTGATTTGTCTACAGACTTAGAAAGTCAACTTTCAGTTAGTTGTAAATGTTATGAGGCTGCTAATGAAATCTTGCAATTTAGTGATTTAAAAAGCCAAAATCCAGAACACTACATACAAGTACTGAAAAGAATGGGTAACATTAGAAATGAAATCGGTGTGTTTTATATGAATCAGGCCGCTGCATTACAGAGTGAGAGAACAGGTGAGTATCTCTTTGGATTCCTCTTTTTATTGTCTGTTCTATTAGAAAATCATGCTGATTTTTTTATGGCTCAAAGAACTGTGGCACTTCATTTTATGTCCTAAAGAGGTGCTCTGTTAAAGAATCTTTTATTGTTAAATTCTCACAAAATTGGGGGAAAAAACTTTACTTTTCCTTGGGATTCATCATTTGTGTCCTATATTCCCACTTTTGTACTTTATTCCATCTGATAAGTTCGAAAGCAGATTGGACAACCAGCCATGTGCCAGGTTCTGTGTTTGAAATAACTGCCTAAAATACAGTCCTCCCTGTTGGGAAGCCACATACGAATACAAATCTCTGAAAAATGCTGTAGATTGTACAAATGCAGTAGAGTAGGAGAGTGGGGAAAGGGGACATTTATGGGGGTTGTAGGGTTCTTGGAAGGGAAGAAGGTGTAGCTTAGTAGGGTGGTGTGTGATACGTAGAATGTGAGCAGGCATATAGGAGAGGAGAGATTTTCAGAGTGACTAGCAGCGCTAGGAAGGAACCGGAGATGGATAGTCCAGTATATGTTTAGAGTGCAGCAAGAGGCCTTGTGTGAGTCAGGCAGGGAATGATGGCTCACCTGGACCCATGCCGAGTTTGGGAAACCTGTGGAACTTGTATGTGAAAAGGTCCAATTTAGTAGTCGATTACAAGAGTGCTTAGAGCTATTCGGGCTAGCAAGACATAGATTGAGAACCACTCACATAGGGTGATAATTGAAGCCCTAAGAATGGATGAAAATGTAAAGGCATGAGTAAGGGAACGGGGCTGAGATAGATCTGAGGGTAGCAGGTAAACTGAACAAATACCTGTGTGCCTGTTGATCTGTGAACTGTACTTGGCACTAGGGGTACAAATATTGCCCCCAAGAGCTCATTGCTGGTGGGAGAACTTGCGCATTTAGGGGCACCTGTAAACTGAACAAATACCTGTGTGCCTGTTGATCTGTGAACTGTACTTGGCACTAGGGGTACAGATATTGCCCCCAAGAGCTCATTGCTGGTGGGAGAACTTGCGCATTTAGGGGCACCTAGAGGAAGAAGTCAGTGAGGGAGCAGAGAAGTGGCAGTCAGGGACCTGGGGGAACTGGGTATGCCCAGTTTCTGACCTCGTAACACTCTGTTGGTCTACAGCTTTTGAATCTTTACAAAATAGTGCTTTGCTCACATCTTTATTTGCTTGTTTTAGTATCAGTAGGTATTGAGGGGACTATGCTTAATTGTGGTATCAGTCTGCTCCACCTGCTGTAATAAAGTACCAATGACTGGGTGGCTTAAACAACACAAATTTATTGTCTCACAGTTCTGGGGGCTAGAAGTTCAAGATCAAAGTGTCAGTAGAGTTGGCTTCTTCTGAGGTCTCTCCTCTTCTTGCTGTATCTTTACGTGGCCTTTTCTCTGTGCATGGCCTGATGTCTCCCCCTCTTACAAGATAGACACCAATCATATTGGATAAGGACCCCACCCTTAAGTCCTCGTTTAACCTTAATTACCTCTTAGAAGGCCCTGTTTCAAATAGTCACATTCTAGGGTATTGGGTCTTAGGGCTTCAGCATATGAATGGACCACTTCCCTTCATGTGGCAGGTGTTTGAGAGCAGGGCACTATGGTTGACCCCAAGGGGCAGCTCCCCAGCAAACACCCTGCCATCCTCTCATCATTGCGTCAAGAGACACTGGTGGGGTTTACGTTGTCTGCTTACACGATTGTTTTCTTTCTTTCTTTGTGAAGTGAGCAAATCTGTGTCTGCTGCAGAGCAACAGTTATGGAAAAAAAGCTTTTCTTGTTTTGAAAAGGGAATTCACAACTTCGAGTCAATTGATGATGCTACAAATGCTGCCCTTTTATTATGTAACACGGGGAGACTTATGCGAATTTGTGCACAGGCGCACTGTGGTGCTGGTGATGAATTTAAACGTGAATTTTCACCAGAAGAAGGCTTGTATTATAATAAGGTAACACTTGCTTATATGTTGGGCTTCATTCATTCATACCTGTCGTTTATTTACACTTGCCATTGCTCCACTAAAACAGAACTACGAATAACTAAATTATGGTGATGGCACAGTACTAGACATATCATTAAAACACTTAGAAACTGGTTGAAGGAGGACTTTCCCAGCATGGCATTATAAGCAGAAATCGTGGGTATAAGGTGAGTAAATTTAAATGTGCAAAGACAAAGGTTTAAAAATGCTCAGCAGAAAGTAAAATTGAAAGCAAACTACAATGTAAGATATTTATACATGACAGATCAGAGGTTTATGCATCCCTAGTACATAAAGAAGAACTAAGAACCGTTGAAAATAAACCATCCCAATAAAGAAAAGAGCAAATAACCATGAACATAAAATTTATATATGTAAAAAAAGTAAATGGCTTAATATACATGTAAGGAAAAATTTCAAAATTTGAATTTATATGAAATTTAAAAATTGAGTTTCTTTTATCACATTTCCACATTTTTTGGCAAATGGTAGCAACCAGTGTTGGAGAAGGATGCAAGGAAATGAGCACTCATCTAATCAAGTACTTTGAAGCTATTAGTGAAGAATGTTCATGGCATAGTAAATTTTAAAATAAAAGTGTCCTCGTTTTTGTTTTTCTAAAGTTTATATATACACAAAGAAAAGAAGAGTGAATAAATAAATACACATTGGAAATGTAAAAATTACTGCTGGGTGGTGGAATTGAGTATGCTTTTGTTTGTTGAAGTACAAGGGCCATGTATTTGAGGATGGGGGTGACAGAGGGTGGGAGGAGTTACTTCTTTTTACAGTAAAGTCTGGCAAATTTTTTATCCAGAAAAAAATATTTTTTTCTACTTTGCTAGTTATATAAACTGTAATTTTCATTTAGAAGGAAGAAGATGCACCATCCTGCACCAGCATGAATCAAAGCAGCAGTAAGGGCTGGCTTACTGTAGACAAGAGGTGGAAGTACGGAGTGGCTATCAGCTGACTTTAAATAACTTCATTAAAATATTTTCATTGATTTAGTTTTTTCCTTTCCTCATAATATTGCCCTTTTATAAATTCTCCCCAAATTAAATCTGAGTGGTTTGAAGTGTGTTTTATTTTAATGCAGTGTTGGCATATATTTAAATTAAGTCAGAGATGTTCACTTTTCCTTCCTCACAGGCTGTTGATTACTATTTGAAAGCTCTAAGGTCATTGGGAACACGGGACATACACCCTGCTGTTTGGGATTCAGTGAATTGGGAATTGTCCACTACTTACTTTACTATGGCAACTCTACAGCAAGATTATGCTCCATTATCTAGAAAAGCTCAGGAGCAGGTAATATTCACAGGATTGAAAAATAAGTCTTCAACTTTATGTTTAACAAATATTGAGCATCTGTTGTCATCTTTTCCTTGACAAGCAGCAGTATTTAAACATTTAAAAAATTCTTGTAGTCAAATTGAGCTTGTCATTTTATTTTCTCCCCTTAAAAAAAAAACAAACAGATCGAAAAAGAAGTCAGTGAGGCTATGATGAAGTCTCTGAAATACTGCGATGTTGATTCAGTATCTGTTCGACAGCCTCTTTGTCAATATCGAGCTGCAACCATCCATCACAGGCTGGCTTCCATGTACCACAGCTGTCTGAGGAATCAGGTATTGTTCCAGTTTAAGTTCAGTGCCAAGTCAGTTTAAAAGTGTTCTGGGTGTTTTTCTTACATTTCCATGTATATTTTAAATGCTATCTATTTTAATTAGCTACTTTAGAAAAATTTGTAGTGTAGGTGTTTTTCTCCCTCTCTCCTATGCTGTATATTTTTCTCTACTATAATTGATTGTGTCTTGATTTGCATAATTATATATTTACCTGGGTGTGTTATTTAGATTTTGTTTAAATGTAGTTAGGCTTTATAGTAATGTTCTGTGAAAATTTTAAAGTACTGTTCTTCCATCTTTTATTGTGAAATAAAGCATGCATGTGAAAGCACATAGAAAATATATGTGGAGGGCTGGCTTGTTAGCTCAGCTGGTTAGAGCGTGGTACTAATAACACCAGGGTCCAGGGTTTGATCCCTGTACCGGCCAGTCACACATACACACACAAAGAGATATATACACATCCCCCTCACCCCCCCAAATAAAATATATAGAGAGAGAGCACCTGTACACTTTAAAAAAATAACAAAAGGAAACCCCTATGTACCTCACCTGGAGGTCAAAGAATGAAAGCGTATTCTAGAGAGCCCCGAGTGCCCAGATTAACTGCTGTCCTGAATTTTCTACTGTCCATACCTTTTTTGTGTTTTATCACTTAAACAATATGTTTATATTTTACTTTGTTTTGAGCTTTATAGAACAAATCACACTATATGTATGCTTCTATGGCTTATTATCTTTCACTTAACATCATGTTTTTGAGATGTATCCACGTTGATGCATATAGCCATTTATTTTCTCAGCTCAGTAGTGTTCATTAAATGAATATATCATAGTTTGTTTATCTGTTTTGTACTTACTGAATTTTGGGTTGTTCCAGTTTGAGGCGTTAGAAGTAATCTAGTACCAACAGTGCTCTGGAATCTTGGTGCTGAAATGCATGTATTTCTAAGAATAATTTGTGGCTTAGAATGAAGGTAGCTTCGTTCAAAGAGGTTGCTGTGCTTCTGCCAGGAATGCCTACAGTTTCTCAGTGACGGTTTTTGTTTGCTTGTTTCGTTGGTTTTCTCCTTTCCAGGCTCACTACTCAGACAACTTACCTTACAGTTTCTTGGGCGTGGGTTTACTTCTAAGTTGCCCTAATCCTGAGATTATTTTCCTTGGAAGTCCAGTTTAATCTGGAGAAGACTTCTTTCCGCTTTGTTGTAGGAGGTCCTCAATCAAAATTTCCTCTTACCACGGAAGGGCCCCAATCAAAATTCAAGTTTGCCCAGATGGCCTGCTATCCTTAGGACAAAAGCAAGCTTAAGGGTGCCAAGACAATTCAGAGGGGGAAGAATAGTCTTTTTAGCTAATGGTGTTGGGACAGCTGGATGTCCACATTCCTCTTACCACGGAAGGGCCCCAATCAAAATTCAAGTTTGCCCAGATGGCCTGCTATCCTCAGGACAAAAGCAAGCTTAAGGGTGCCAAGACAATTCAGAGGGGGAAGAATAGTCTTTTTAGCTAATGGTGTTGGGACAGCTGGATGTCCACGTGCAAAAGAATGGAGTTAGACTTCTACCTCATATCATATGCACAGATTAATGGAAAGTAGATTAAAGACCTAAATGTAAGAGCTAAAACTACAAGACTTGGGGGGAGGGGGATCAACTAAAAAGCATTTAGTGATCCAGTCAGAAGACTTGATTACATAGTTATTCGTATAACTTCGTATAATGTATGCTATACGAAGTTATTACGGAAAACATTTTTACAAGTCAGTTTATATAAGTACAGATTTAACTCAGCATGAAAAGCTTGGGAATGGAGAAGCAGCAGTAAAGGAGTAGTGGTCCTCATTGAATCCCTTTAAACATAGAACTGGTACTTGGCAACTGTGATTTGTGGTTCTAGAATGGAACTTGGCCAAGGTAAGGATAAATTGAGAGGTAGGGAAAGGGTGAAAGAAAGTGAAAATGCTTCATTATGTTACTTTCCATGGCTGGGAGCAGGCAGGTACTACAAACACTTAATGTTTTTTGTAAGTTCTCTCTGTTGCTCCTGATACCTGCTCCCCTCTCTTGCAGAAGGATCTTTTGAGAAATACCTCTTGTGTGGTAAAGAAACAAGGAACAACTATTTGAAATACAGCAGTTCATTTGGTTTCATTTCAGTTTTATCTTCTATAAAATTAAATTTAATACTTTAAATATGTATGACTTAGTATGTTCAGGTATACAGTAGCCCTGGATGAGATACAGTAGCACAAGAAACTCGTAGCATTGTTGCCCTGTGGAGGGAACCTGGAAGGTCAGGTGTGGGATTTTCACTGTATACCCATTTGAACCTTGTAAATTTGGGGAATGTATTATGTATTCAAAACAATTTCTAAAAATACTTTTTATTAAAGTTAATTTTGTTAATTGTTTGCTAGTATATAATACATGGCTAGATGTGTGGGAGAGTCACCAGGGTTAACAGAAGCTCTTTCTGGTGATGGGTTTGGGGTGATCTTTTCTCACTTGCATCTTTGAATTTTCTGCCATGTTTGAATTCCTTAAAATGAGCAGGTATCATTTTTATAAAAAAAGAATAGAGAGAAACTGGGAACAAATTTACCAAGATGATTAGTGTGGTTAATTCCCTTTTTAAAATGTTTTAATACTATGGGTACCTTAGGAAAATCATTTAAATATTTTGGGGAGTTTTGTTAGTCAGGTTTATGGGTTTGGTAGGCCAAGTTAATAATACCTTTTATTCTCTTACTTTACCCATTATCTTTTTTTCCAGTACATTTGATTCATAGTTACTGTATTAGTTCATTTTGTGTTGCTATAACAGAAATACCTGAGACTGGGTAATTTATAAGGAAAAGAGGTTTATTTGGCTTACAATTCTGGGACAGCTGCATCTGGCATGGGCCTCAGGCTGCTTCTACTCATGGCAGAAAGCTGGTGGGTACAAGCAGATCACATGGTGAGAGGAAGCAAGAGAGAGAGAAGGTGCCAGGGTCTTTTAAACAACCAGCTCTTGCGGGAACTAAGAGAGCAAGAACTAACTCACAACCCCCACCCTCCACGGAGAGCATTAATGCATTCACGAGGGATCTGCCCCCATGACTCAGTTTCCAGCACTGCCACATTGGGGATCAGATTTCCACATGAGTTTTGGAGGGGACAACACGTCCAAACTCCATCATTTGCCTTCCTTATTATTGTCTGCTCCCAGCCCCAACAGCATTTCCATACATAATCAGTAGTTTGTCTTCCAGAGGCTAAAGCTACACTGAAATCACATTTATCCATTGATTTCAAAGATAATAAATTGTTTTGAAATTTGGGGATTATGCTGTTAATCAAGAAGGCAGCAGTTTTCCCTTCCCACCTGCAGTGTTGGGACTATTTTCACTTCTGACAATTCACTGCAAGGACTCATAGAACTCACTGAAAGCTATTCTGCTCATGGTTATGGTTTATTACAGTGAAAGGATGTGCGTTAAAATCAGCCAAGAGAAGGGGCGTGTGAGACAGTAGAGTCATAGATAGCACTGACTCTCTCCAGCAATGATATATGACAGTATGCACAGAGTATTGCCAACCACAGAAGCTCATCCAAGCCTTGGTGTCCAGAGTTTTTTTGGGGGACATGGTTGACTGCTACATGACTGACCCAATCTCCAGTCCCTCTGGAGGTCGAGCTGTTAAACATGGGGCCCAAAAGCCCCACAATAAATCACATTGTTAGACTATCCAGTGTGGTCACAGGTCCCCCAGGTAAACAGACACTCTTATTAGGCAGGACATTCCAAGGGCTTAGAGATCACCTTCTGGGAGCCAAGACCAAAGGCCAGACCTCTGTTTGGACAAGATTATTCCTCCACTACACACCACTACACAGGACTACACACACAATTGAATGTAACCTCCAGGAGAGCAGGAGTAAAAATGCTTTGTAATATCCGATAGCTGTAGAAAAGTTTTATTCATAAAGTTCTGGAATAAAATGAAACCTTCTTCATTTGGTTTGACTTCCTGCCTTTTAACAGAAAGGTGATATACTTATTTTACAGATAGGATAACTGATACTAAGTGCTTAAGTGACTTGACCAACATCGCACATCAGGTAAATATAGGGGTGGCGTTTGAACCACAGACTCCTCTCCCCTAGTCCCCTTTCATCTAATGCTTTAGATATTGGCTCCTATTCCGAACAGATTGTGTTCTTACCTTGATAAAACCAAATGGTGAGTCAGGAAAACTTATTTATTGCTTTTTCAAGACTTAGTATTTTTCTCAAGGGAAAATTATTAAAACGGAAGTTGGATTTAGAAGATTTGTTGGGATTCTCATGAGCTACCTTTACAGCTATGAAAATCAGAATTTTCATTAATACACTAACATTGGATGGGTTTCTAGATTTACATTTAAAGGAATGATAATTTGTGTTTAATACTTTAGGCCAGAATAGCAATGTTGGAAAATTGAAAACACTATCAGGGGCTCTTGATATAATGACGAGAACTGAACATGCATTCCAGCTCATCCGGAAGGAACTTGTAGAGGAATTTGACCAGGTAAATGGAAAAAATCATTAACTGTATTTTTTGTATATATAGTGTGTTTATGTGTTTATTTTGTGTATGCGTGTGTTTATGTATATGTGTGTGTGTGTGTGTGTATATATATATATTTTGTGTGTGTAAATGCTCTGTATGAAAACACATTAACATGTTTGCTTGGTAGAATTATTAATTTGCAAGTATATCTGTTATATTTTAAAAGTTTTTCTTTAAGAATATGTGTAAACAGAGGCCCATAGACCATGTTTAGCGAGGCATAGGTTAGCAAGTTATGAAGCTGTAATTTGTGTGTGTGTGTGTGTGTGTGTTTTGGGGTTTTATTTTTTTTTCGGAGGAAGAAAAGGCCTATGCCCTCTTTTATAATTTCCACTAAACTGCCTTGAAGCAGTTAAATGGTGAATAGGCTTAAGCAGGCTCTTCGGTAAGTAATTTCTAGTTTTTTGGACATTCCAGCATTCGTGCTTCCTTCTCCTATTGCTGAAAGCTTCCCTATGTCCCCGTGGTATATCCACCTATTTCTTTCCTAGGCCTGTTTGGTCAAATCCTGTATAGTAGCCATTTTCATGTTGCTCCTTTAGCATCTGATGTTGGGAAGTCAGGAGATTTTCATTCAGAATTAATTTCTTCTGTGTAAGTGCCTATTAGGTGTGAGATATTTATATTATGTATTTTAGTCTATAAAAATGATCTAAGCTGTGCTTTTTGTTTTGTTTTTGGTTCAAAAGCTTATTACATTGATGAGACTGTAGTTCCATCATTTTAGTATGAAACTACAGTTGTTGGGTAGCTTAGGTAAAATACCTTTTTGCTGTTTTTAGCATAAGACTGGTGAGACTGCTGCAGCTGCTGATTCTTCTGGTCTTAATCGAGAAGAAGTGATAAAACTCCTCAGTATATTTGAGTCTCGGTTGTCATTTCTTCTCCTTCAGTCCATCAAACTCCTTTCTTCAACTAAAAAGAAAACAAGGTAAATTAAATGATTATTTGTGGAAAATTCTTTCCCAGGACTTTACCTGTGAAAAGAGTACAAATAATCTGTACTGACATTGTTTAAAAAGTAAGTTGTATTCTTTCTTTCCTTTTATGTGGATAATCCAGGCTTTTAAGTGGTGTTCCTTCTTGACTTGTCAAATTAGGTGAGAATTATCTCCATGTGGGCTACTACATATTATAGTTAGAGATACAGAAACCTTGCTGCCTAAGGGTAAATACCCCATTGTTTGTAATA